CGCTCCTTTCCTCTCTCCTCTCCACTCTTTTCCTCGAAAGCAGAGACAACTCCCCGCGGGAAGCTGAGGTTTGCCGTGAGCCCTCCCTCGGGGTTCGGCTTCCCCCCTGCTCCTGAACTTTGCTTTCCGTTCTCCCGAGGCGAAAGGACCCGGCCCGGCCCCCTCCCGCCCGGTAGGAACTGCCACTTGCATCGCTAGTTTTCCAAAAGTACTTCAGGCATCTTCGCTGTGCCGGCGGCCAGGCGAGCCTGGGCCGGCGACGCCTCTTTCCTTCCTTTGTACGGGGAAGAGCAGGGTGTATCCAGGACCGGTCTGTAATTCCACAGGCAGGGATGGCCGCTGCCTCACTGCACGGGAGCAGCGGCGTTTCCAGCCTCCAAGCAGCCAACGCTCGGATCTTGGAAACGCCGGGAAGTGCTCGTGTCCTTTGTGCGGGTCTCGTTGTTACAAAGGGCAGGATTTCCCGGGGCCAGGCTGCGGGAATCCCCGGGCAGGAGCCCCAGGCAGGGGGTGCGGGGCCGGCGCGGGAACAGGATCCACGCGAGGGAAGCGCCGCGGTCCACTCAGCCCACACCTGTAATGTTTACAAGCGCCTGTCCTAATGTAAATACTGAACTTGCATCTGTACTGTACATCAGATGGGGTCCCTTTTGCAGTACCTGTTGTAACGTGGATGTTTACTGTAGTTTTCAGGTGAAAGAGGAGAAGTTGACTCGCCTGTTAACTTCTGATTAACCCGAAGGTTTCGGGGGCTGAGGTTTCCTTTGTTGTTTGTTGGGGGTTTTTGTTGTTGTTATTTTAAAAATTTTGTAGCTATTTATTTCATAGCTTAAAAACAAACAACAACAATAATTATAATAAAAAGAAACCTGTCACCAAGCACATGACCCGACATAGCTTAAAGAAAAGCTGCTGAAGTCACTGATAAAATGTGGAAAAGTAATACAATAGCAGGTACAAACTGTGGAGGTCATCCTGATTTCTGCTGGGGCTTTGCAGACAAGAGAGAGGGGGCTAGGGAAACTGTAAATGTTTGTGTATATGAATGATTATAAAATGTGTAAAATGCACTTTTGTTTGATATACTCCTTTCTAGTTTTAGGTAGTTTGCTGGAAACTGAACTGTTGTTCTGTTGTGAACTGCTTAAGTTAAGAAAAAAAAAAAAAGAACACCCCCTCCAAATGGCATTAGTGTCTATTGAAACTGTAAAGACATTTCTTTTTAACTTTTTTTTTCCTGTACAGAATAAGCATGGCATTTTAAATATTGGTGTTCTTGTTCCCAGCATGTGTGTTTTAAGACAAAGGTTAAAAAGTGTCTACGTTAAATTATGAACCTAGTCGTCCAAATAATATTTTCTCATTAAAATATGTAAATGTAGATTTAGTTTCTTATTTGTCTTTTTAAAGAGTTTACAGGAGAAAAGAAAAAACATTAGTTGATGACAAAGGAATGACGCTATTCCAATATTTAGATAATCTAAACAGCCTTTTCATGCAAGGTTACTATAAATGCAGTTATTTACATACCACCACGTCTCAGATAAAGTTGTCGTTATTGCCGGTTTAGCGAAGGGATAACGCACTGAGTGTGTTCTGTGGGTTTATACATCTGTGCATCTACGCATACACATCTGCATTTGTGCCCTCTGCACTCACACCGAATACAAACACGAATTACATTTACACCTGCTTGGATGAAACTTATCACCTACGCACTCCCAGTTACATTTTATCTAAAAAGTATAAAAATCAGTTAGCTCCTGCGGTAGAGAGCAAACATAAAAACCCTTAAAGAATTAGTTCCTTTTCAAGACTGAGAATACTGAATTTTTGCCAGTAGTGTTTTTTCTTACAAGTGGCATTTCAAAATCTTTTTCGAGTAAAAGTGAGCTATTATAGCCCTTTACCTGTCGTTTAAGCCTCCTCAAGCACAAGTTAGTCCAGCCACTGCTGTAATTTCTCCATCTCTATTGATCAACACTTTCCAAAAACGGTAGGTTGCACACTGTAACACTTAAAATTGTGCTCGTTTTCCTGTAATTAAATATACAGTCCCTTTTAAAAAGTAAGGGCAACGTAGTTACAATGAAAACTGGATTCCGGGCACACTTTCCAGTGGGGTTCTCCAAATCTGTTAGGGATTTTACAAGGATTCTGCGACTGCTGAAAATGACAGAAGCAATCCAGTGAAATTACGAGGAGGCTGCGAGCACAGTTATGAGACAACCACACACTGAAGTGCTTCCTAGCAAGAAAACGACATTGTATTCTAATGAACAGACAGGATTCGCGAATGCTACGGCAATGATGTTACAGAGGTTTTGTCTCTGACTGATCTCTCTGAATTTCTGGACCACAAACACAGTAAGTGACATCCTCATTTACTTATTACAAACCACAAGGTCCTTGCAAAAGTTTTAAGATTAATGTAGGGGGCAATTAATCCAGTTGTGACCATTTTTTCAAAAAGGGAACGGATCCCACACACAGAAAAAAGGTGAAAAATACATGAATCATTGGGCTGATTAAAATGCATGAAGCTGCTAAAGCTTGTCAGATGGGGGACAACTGAACTCATTCATCAAGTCCAACCCACGATTATATCAACACGATCGGCTAAAGAAAGCATTCAAAACTTATCACCAGATCAATGGACACATAACTCGACAAACTTTTCCTAAACAAGCGATGACCTACATTTTTAGACGACGAGGACGCTTTTTCTCCTTCCTTTTTTTTTCTTTTAAGATCTAACAGTCAGAATAAATCCTCAAAGATGAAATCCGAGCTCAGCTAAGAAGATGAAGCTGCACTTTCAGAGTTTCTTTTTTTTTAAACTATACAGTAGCGGCGGAGATAACGATCTGAAAAGATTATGGCCCAAAGCAAAATATTTTCAAAAGGTGCAATAGCTTTCTCGCTGCATAATGCCATAGTATGAGTCGCCACCGTACTTTTAAAGTGCCATTTTCCTCCTTATCTCTGCGGTTGCCCGAGACTTTGGCAGCCCGAGGAC